CTTGGGGGGGGGGGACAACACACCGGGAGTTCTGGAGATGGAGCTCCCCAAATCTCATCTGGTTTAGCTCTCACCACAAGCTGGAAAGTTCCTGAAAGTCAAGATTTCCCCCCATAGCTACTCCTGACTGATGAGTGCAAGAAATGGCACAGAGTTGGAAGGAAAAGGTTGTGGGCACGGCAGCACTGGGAGACAGGGCTCGACCACTATTTTGCTAGGATTTCTGATGCTTTCCTTATTCAAAATTACCCCCAGAGCGGAAAACACTCCGTGGCTTGAAAAGCTCCCCTCCCCTAGAATATCTCCTGTTTCCTGCTCGTTTCAGCCTCAATGCCATTTCCTGCTTCCTTCCACTGAACTGCTTCCCTGTGAAGGGAAGCCTGAGTTATCCTGTCTATCTCTGCTCGTTTTACCTCTTCCAAGCCAGGTTGGGATATGCCACCAGCCTCCCTGAGCAGACAGGAGACCACCTCCATCCCATTGCCCCCTTCCCCTGCCCTACATGAAAATGTTCTGCCATTTAAAGGGTGGCACTGAAGGGAGCACATACTACAGTTCTCCTCGTCCGAGTTGTCTCCGCAGTCGTTGTCATAGTCACACTGCCAGCGGCCGGGCACACAGCGGTTGTTCCTGCATCGGAACTGGTACGGCTCACAGGTTCGCTCGTCTGAAAATGAAGGATGCAGTTGGGCGGGGGGGGTGAGGGAGAGAGGAAAGGGCAGGGAAAAGATGACATCAATACACTGGAAGCAATATCCAACAAATCCCATACGCATTTCCGGCATCAGGTTTCATGGGGTAGTTTGAAGACTTTTCTGCATTCTCATTTTCCTTGTTTGTAAGTTCCTGTTTCTTCAGGGTGGGTTTCTTTCTGTTTGCATGGGTTTTGTTCCCTTTAGTAGTCAATTCAATATTACATCAGGTTATCCCCAGCATAAAAACTTGCAAGTTAAATCTGCAGGGAGATACACCTGACATAAACAGATGTAATACTGAATCAACCACTAGGGGCAGCAAAACATGTGCAGAACAGGAAACACCCTCCAAGGCAACAGGAATTTCAAAACAAGGAAAATGAGAATGTGGAAATCTGTCTTTAATGAGAGACAAACTGTATCCACATGGTAGCTTCCCATCCTTCTAGTTGAGTATTCTAGCACACAGCTGGGAGAGCCGAAAGTGACCTAGGAAAACACAGGTCCGTTCCCATGCTCAACACAAGAAGATAACTGTGCCATCAGTTGCGCAGTGTGACAGAGACAGTCCAGAATATAATATCTCAGGTACTCAAAAAGATGTTATCCAAAGTGCTTATTCGGCATCCAAACTCTGAAACCACAGCTGTGTGGATACATCACAGGCAAAATGGTTGGTAGTCCCCAAAGCTTTGCTCATGCTATAACCTTCATCTTGAGATCTCCTGTCTAGGTGTGCAAAGATCCAATGAGGAAAGTGAGTGAGACAACTGGGCGACTTCTCTCTCAAGGTCCTGACAACTCTTTAAGGCAAAAAACGACAGTGCACTGAGCAGGCCAGCCACTCTCCTAATCGGTATCAGCTCAGCCAGCCAGACCACCACCTCTTTAACTTACCACATTCTTCCTTTGGTTCGTCTGAGCCATCTCCACAGTCATCCTCCCCGTCACATTTCCAACGTGCCGGGATGCACCGACCTGAATCTTTGCATCGGAACTCATCCAGGCCGCATCTCATTTGTGCTAGAAGAATGGAGAAGGGTGGGAAAAAATCAACGATGGAGTCAGTTAATGTTATTGGAAGCCAGCTGCATATGTCTGCCCTCCAAATGAGGTTAGGGGAGGCACAGGAACCTGCTTTTCCCACAAAGGGCTGTTCGGAGACTTCACATTTCAAGGGATACAATAATTACTGCAAGATTCAGACCCTTGAGAAATGATACCTTCGATTTTAATAAACAAGTTACTAGACCGCTAGCTTTCAAACATTCTAGCTGCAGGGAATCCTTTTGATATTGTCTGCTGAAGATCCCCCTCAATGGCGTAAAGTACCTGGAAATATGTATAGAGCACAACTCAGTTTATGCAGTGTGCTATCAAGTTCACATAAATTGAGAACAGCTAGATATGAGTCCAGTAGCACCATAGAGACCAACAAGATTTTCAGGGTATGACCTTTGACTCTCGAAAGCCCATACCCCCAAAATCTTGTTGGTCTCTTATGGATCCCAGCCCCCCAAGTGGGGGATCCCCTGATTTGGCAGGCTCCTTCCCGATGCTGGCCAGCTGGCCGGTGGGGGAAGCCCCGCCCGCAACTTCTGGGTAAACAGGAAGTGCATCTCCAACATGATGATGTCACTTCCAGGTGACGTCATCATGCCAAGGATCGGGGGGGGAGGCTCTGCTTTCTGGGCAAAACTCTATGGTTTTGAGGTCAATAGAGTTTTGCCCAGTAAGCAGAATATCGCCCCTGATGTCCCCAATGTGATGGTGTCACTTCTGGGTGACATCATCACATCAGGGGGGCACTTCCAGTTTGACCAGAAGTTGCTCCGTGCCCTCAGAAACGAAGAACACATTCTAGAATGCGCCCAGTGCAATATCGCCCCTGATGTCCCCAATGTGATGCGCCCAGTGCCCCCCTTCCCAGTGAGTGCCAGGGAAGATCAGCAGTGGAAGGCAAGCTGGTTTCTGGCAAAATGCTGCGGGGTTTTGGAGCAGGGAAAGGAAGAAGTAGGCTTTAAAGCTCTGAATGTCCTCCCGTGTTTCTTTCACCATGTCCAATAAGACTTCTTTGCCTAGCCACGCCCACTGCTATTTCGTTTCGGCCTGCAAAACAGAATGTTTCCTATAAAAGTTTCTCCCAGAAGCCCCTTGAGCGGGGGGAGGGGGGGAAATCCAAATTTTACAGATGCTGAAATAAAGAAAATGGGGAAAGTTTATGAAAAATACATAAATCTGAATGCCTTTTTGACTGTTTATGTCAAAAGCGGAATTCTAGGTTTTCTTTAAGTAAAAGGAGAAGCTGTATCCCTGAGAGAACAACAACTTCCTGGATAGAGACAGAGGGACCAAGCAAAACTTTCTGAAATGGACCATTTGCAACCCCAAACCCTCTATTTAGAGGGACCCGATCTGTGCACTTGACCCATGCTAAAGGGGCTCTGGCAAATCTCACAGCAGACCCTTCCAAACATCTTCTTGCAGAACGAGCAAGCTTCAGGGACCCAGCTCACCTCCTCAAAGGCACAAAGGTTGAGAATCCCCGGCGAGAAGTTACAGCCTTCTGAAGCAAACCCATTATTCCCTCCCAAGGCCAGAGACCCTCGCGAGGGTTCCCAAGATACGCCGAAGTGCCTTACTGCAATTGGCAGGTTCATCAGATCCGTCCACACAGTCATTGTCTCGGTCACACACCCACACCCGTGGGATACAGCGTTTGGTAATGGCACACTGGAACTGGTTTGGGGCACAAGTCACCTCCGCTGCAAAGGAAAGGGAAGTCCAAAGAAAACGGCTGTTCAGAAAACAGAACAAGGCTGGAGTTCGGCCCACCAAGGCTTGTTGACACTGTTTGGCAATGATCAAGACTGTGTGTTCTGAGTCCACCACTTAGGTGCAGAAACCGGTACTGGGAGTGCAATTCAACATCCTCAGGATTCCAGCACCCTTTGCTAAAGAATGGGTCTAACCCTTAGGACTGCGGCACCAAAGTATGCATTGGTATTACCTTGTAATGTCCCAAATGCCAAAGAAGGGACTGAAGGGGGGACTGGGGATCTCTGAGCCCTTAAAGCCCAGTCAGAAAGTAGGGGGATGTCGCAAAGAGAGCCAGTTTGGTGTACTGGTTAGGAGCGCGGACTCTAATCTGGGAGAACCAGGTCTGATTCCCCACTCCTCCACATGCAGCTGCTGGTGTGACCTTGGGTCAGTCACAAGCTCTTTCAGAGCTGTTCTCTCAAGAGCAGTTCTCGAAAGAGCTCTCTCATCCCCACCTACCTCACAGAGTGTCTGTTGTGGGGAGGGGAAGGGAAAGGAGATCGTAAGCCACTCTGAGACTCCTTCCGGTAGTGAAGGATGGGGTATAAATCCAATCTCTTTTCTATTCTTCAAAGAAGGTAGTCAGGATGCAAAGGTACAGTGAAATCCCCTGAGAGGAGGGATTTAAAGAGATCTGGGCTTTGGTGACCTGCAGAACTCTTTTCCCGCACCAAGAAAATGAACTTTGCAAAATGAGGACATTTGCTTAAAATATGTGATAAATGTAGCCTACGTTTATCACGTCCAGGGCTTCGTGAATGGCAAAAAAACCTCTTGGGTGATAATTTTGGTGTGGAACTTTTGATCATTTTAAGTCCAGAAGACACGCGGTCCCCTGGGTTCCAAACCAGCCCTGGACAATGTCGATGCTCTCTGTCCTGGAAGGCTTGGCACAGCACATTCAGTTACAACGATTCTTCCAAAAGGACACCAGAAAGCGAGACTCCCGTCCTCTTTTCCGGGCACAACTTACGACAGTCCTTCTCATCCTCTCCGTCACCGCAGTTGTCCTGCCCGTTGCAACGGAAGATGCCGGGGATGCAGCGGTTGGTGTTGGTACACTTAAACTGGCTGGGCAGGCAGACGTGCACCTCTGTCAAAAGAGAAACGGAAACGCTCTGAAAGGGAAACCCTTAACTTGAACTCGGATTTTTAACTGGGCATTTCGTGGGAAGCGCTGGTATTAAGGTGGTTTCAGGCGGGTAGCCGTGTCGGTCCGCAGCAGAAGAGCAAGATTCGAGTACAGTAGAAATGTGAAAGACCAACAAGATTTCCAGGGTATGAGCTTTCAAAAGTCAAAGCTCCCTTCCTCAGATACAAGTCAGGATGGAGATCCCTGAGCCCTTATATCCCAGTCAGGAGGTGGGAGGGGTGTTGCAAAGGAGGGAGACAGGATGCAAAGGGACAATGCAAAATGTAATCAGCTGGATGAGAGCAGGGGAGAAATACTTAGGGGTGGGAAATCCAGGAGGTTAGCATCTACATTGAGATAAGAATCTTATGTCCCGCCCTGACCTGGATAGCCCAGGCAAGCCCGATCTCCTCAGATCTCGGAAGCTAAGCAGGGCCAACCCTGGCAAGTCCTTGGAAGGGCCACCTCCGAGGAACACCAGACGCAGGACGCAGAGGCAGGCTAATCAAGCCACCTCTCTGAAAAATGTCCAAGTCTCCAGCAGGGGTCGCCATAAATCAACCATGACTTCCAGGCAAGCGTGTGCACAGACACACACACACACACAGCCTATGAAACCCATGTCCCTATTCAGCCCTGGAAGGTCCATTGTTCTGAATTTGTGAATGAACTCAAGTTCAGCGATTTCATGTTTAATCCAAGTTCAGCAATCTCAGGTGTTAAGGACTGCATTACTGACTGATTATACATCTATTACTACCCTTTCTCCCAGAAGCCAGGGGAAGCACACATGGCTACAGAACAAAGCCACATTTGTGCACCTCTGTGGTGGTGGCGGAAAGGGCGTCAAATCACAGCTGAACACGGTGATCCCGCATAGAGTTTTCAAGGCTGGAGACATTCCGAGCCACTGTCTGCCACTGCCTGCCTCTGCGTAGCAACCCTGGACTTCCTTGGTGGTGTCCCATCCAAGTACTAACCATGGTCAACCCGGCTTTGCCTCCGAAATTTTATTTATTTATTTATTAACTGCCCTCCCCGGTAGGAGTGGGCTCGGGGTGGTGCACAACATAATCAGATAAAACATCGCATAAAACAATTTCAGATCAGGCTAAAACTGCAAGGCATCATAACCAATCTGATCAATCCAGTAATCTAGTTAGCTATAAAGGGAAAGGTTCCCTTGCTCGAAAGCCAGTTTAGTCCGACTCTAGGGTTGCGGTGCTCATCTCCGTTTCAAAGCCGAAGAGCCAGCGCTGTCCGAAGACGTTTCCGTGGTCATATGGCCGGCATGACTAAACACCAAGGCGCACAGAACGCTGTTACCTTCCCACCGAAGTGGTACCTATTTATCTACTTGCAATTTCTTGCTTTCAAACTGCTAGGTTGGCTGGAGAGGACGCTAAAATCCTAACAGTGCCACTCTCTCATGGGGGGAGGGGAACAGGGGAGGAGGATGGGAGTGCCAAGATGGGACTGTCGCTGTCCTCCACCAAACGCCTGGCGGAACATCTCTGCCTTGCACGCCCTGCGGAATTGTAGCATGTTTGTATGTTACTTGGGTGTTACTTAGCAGAGAGTTCCACCAGGTTGGAGCCAGGGCAGAGAGAGCCCTGGCTCTGGCTGAGGACAGGTGGATGTCTCTTGGGCCAGGGACCACCAATAAATTCTGATTTCCCAGACACAACACTCTTCTAAGGGTATACCAGGAGAGGCAGTCTTGGAGGTATGTAGGTCCCTAGCCGTTAAGGGCCTTCAAGGTCAACACCATGACCTTGAATCTGATCTGGTACTCCACCAGAAGCCAATGCAGCTCACACAGCACCGGAGATGTGCTTTGCGCAGTGTCCCCGTAAGGACCTCACCACGACCTAGGTGGGATACAGCAGGACGGGGCTAGCAGGACGGGGGACGGACTGGAGAAGTGCTGAAAGTACCACCCTTAGGGGCCTTTCTAAGCTTTCTTGCTCTGCATTTTGTACCAGTTGGAGTTTCCAGGCCAGCCTCAAGGGAACTCTGACCAGATCTGGTTAGCCATCCAGGTCAGGGCTTTGCTGTGTAGAAGGGAACTCAAAAGGCATTTCAATGCTTTCTGAAGGTGATTACATACCCTCTGAGCTTTCTTTTCCTGGATCCCATGATGTCCCCCCCCCCAAAAAAAAATTCCACAGTGGGAGAGAGAAGGAAGCTCGAGGGCAAACTGTGGCACCCTCTCACCTTGGCCAC